AACCCATCGTATTAGATAGGATAACAAGGAAATAAAAATGCTCCTCTCCTTTTGATGCCTACTAATTGCCTAGAAAATAAACTCCAAACTTTTGCATGGCATTTGGGATTCCTATCGATCTATTTCTAACCTATTTTTCCAGTCTCATTCTGCCCACACTGTTATGTCTCTAGGACCTGATATAAATTTCCAGTTTCATTCTCTGGTTCATGATGTTCCCTTGTTGCTATGGTTGTACTTCATTTGTTAAAAGCCTGTACACACTCCGGGCCCACGTGTCACTCTTACAGTAATACCTTCTCTACCCTGCCTTTTGGGTAAACTTAGCCACCATTGTGTACTCTCCTATTGCTATTAAAATTAAACTTCAGTTGTAAAGTTTATTTCCTGCAGTGTATTGGACTCAAAAGGAAAAAGTCTTAACCATTTTGGTTAATTTATGCTTAACATCATACCTGACAAATAGTAAATATCCAATAAATATTAACAAATTCCTGCTTTATATAATAATGAGAATAACATTTTAGATAGTCTTCATTGAGAAAATATCATAGTTTTAGTCAATTATCATTAGAATTAAATAAAAATCATTTGCATTTGGTAATACTAGTGAAAATATACTCCAAAGATGAATTGTCCACTATAACCCTCCACGTTTTACACAAATCAGTTCACTTTTCCCTTGCCATCAGTTTGGAAAGAGAATGAAAGTTATGTAAAAATCCAGCCAAGTAGCTCATTGTCTAAGTGATATAAAGCCAATCTGTGCACCAAAGTTAAGGCCATCTCCAATGCAGGAGAAAAACTTTTCAGGATGGCAGGATGTACAGAGGTTGAGATCTTGGTTCTGGTCCTGAATATTCTGTGGAAGAATTCCTCCTTGTTCCAGAAGAATACTGGTGGCTTTATGGATGTCAGTGTAGGAATTTGGTGAGTCAAACAGTTGTACGCATGTAAAATGAAGATTATGAAATGCCCTTGCTGATTCTCAGACCCCACATGCTTTTATGACAGGATCTGCAAAAACTATAGGTATACAATTAGCACCAAGTGCTGCAATTGTGACTCCTCTCTGATTTGTGGTTATTCCATCATAAAATTCAGGCTCCTTTTTTTCCATGACCCAGAATTCATTCACATGATCAGTCTTTACTCAGTAAAATTTCTCTGTATTAAATCCTGCAGTATCTGCCAACCTACGCAGGTTTTCCTGAACAACTGTTTGGGGATCTCTCCGTCTGGAACTCCCGAAGAGACCGAATGAGTGGTATGTAAGATATCCCACCTGTCCTTGTAGTAAACCCACGTATGAAAAGGTCTAGGATCAAATGATCATGTTTATTTCAGTGCACTGCTTCAAAAGGCCATCTTTTACCTGTAAGTCTTCAAACTCAAAACTGTAAACCTCAATGAATATTGGTCAATAAAAGCTTTCATTAATTTTTTCCTGTGTACTGCTACAATCACCTTACTGCTGCTCAAATTTTTCCCATCAAATTTTTGCTTAATTGTATACAAAGAGGCAGCCACACTCGGATTACTAACAGTCTCGAAGTCTCTCAGGAAGGATGCTTGTTTCCAATTCACGGTTATCATGTTCACGATCCCATTCACAGCTGATGTTACTGCAGCATATTATGCAGAAGTACTGGGCCCTGCCCGCATCGTGGTATCGGACAGCATTCAGTGTCTTCAATACTGTCTGAACGCAGTTTTCCTGAGGGTTCAATTCCAAGCCAAATAGATCAATCAAAATTGCTTCTGCCATCCTCCAATACTGTGTAAAGTTCTTCAAAGAATACTTGGATGCCAAACAAATAATCTTTCTGCCCCAGCCGTCCCAAGTCATCTGCGGGTCTGTGCGTCCTGCTGCCTCTCCTCGCCTCTGCTCCCGTCTCTCTGTTCTGCTTCCTCCTCACGGTTCCGCTCCCTCCTCACGGTTCCGCTCCCCACTCACGGTCCCACTCACAGTCCCGCTCACCACCCCGCTCACTGCCGAGAGTCCCTTTGCCGTCACTGGTGTCTGTAGCGAGGCGCGGGTCCTCGGGGCGGGTGTAATTTACTTTCTGATTTGGTTTTGTTCACATGATTTTGGATGTACTGAAAATTGAATTATAATTGAATTAGATCTACCAGACTTTTTCTCATTAACATCTGTTTCTTTTGTGCAATAAAAGTACTTTTCCATCATGAGTTGTACTTTGTGATTAGATTTTAAATTTTAATTCTTTAATCCATTTTATTCAAACTCATTTTGTTTCATTATTTATTTACTTATTTACTTATTTTTTATTTATTTTCTGTCTTTACCAGACAAGGTCTCGCAATGCAGTTCAGGCTGGCCTTGAGCTCACTTTGTAGCCCAGACTGGTCTAGAACTTGCAATGATCCTCCTGCCTCAGCCTACTGAGTGCTGGGATTGCAGGTGTGCGCCACCACGCCCGGCCATCATTTTGTTTTATAGAATGTGACTTTTTCTCTCCAATTCTACTTCATAAATAAGCCATCCTTTCTCCACTGACCTATGACAAGCCAGTTAACAGATATTAAATTATTTTGTACATAAAGGTCTCTTTCTGAACAATCTATTGTACTCTATTTGTCTCTCTGGTTATATTTGTTCAAGATCTATTCTTTGAACTTGGAAGATTTACTCTTTAAACAATCACCAGGCTTTTTAACAACAACCACAAAACCCTGTTCATCGATTAGGGATGTGTGGAAAAAGGAGTTATCCCCGAGTCTCTGGGAATCTAGGAGAGGAAAGGGAATTCTCAAAGGAATATGGAATCACCTAGTCAAGATCCTGAAATGTGTCTGGCTTTGAAAAAGTCATAAAGTGCTGCTATTAATACCAGCCTAGGAGTCTATTCTCTGGCTCTCTGACCAGGGTCAAGAGAACAAACCAGAGAGTATGTGCTGAGGTAGAAAGCATCTTGAAAAAGGCATTTTTTAACCTCTCTGGGCCTCAATTTTAATTTTGTAATGTAGGTTAAAATTGGACCTACTTCAAATTTTAAGGGTTAAAAAAACATTTCATAAGTGGGAAGACCCTAGACTCAAATGGATGGGAACATTGGAGAATTATTTTCTGTAGATGAATAGGAGGGGCCCCACACATAGTCGGCAGAGAAGTGATATCTAACCCTCTCTGCATGATAGCTCTGGACTCATCAAAGACCCAAGAACACAAAAGAATGGGAAACTTACAGGGGCCCCATAGGGAGATTTTCACCTTGTATTTAAGTAGTCCTTGAAGCACCTACCAGTTCTCTCCCAAGGATCTCAGGTCCTTGGACTTGGAAATAGTGATAAAGAAGAGATGTTGTCTCCTTTAGAGAGAATCCTGTAAGATTTCCTCTTTTCCAACAGGAGCTCACTGAAGTTAAAAGCCAAAATTCTCCTGCTCAGAGAGCCTACATATTGAAGAGAGAGACCTACCCCTGATCCTCAGGAAGCCCGTAGGACAGTATGATTCCCTATGTTCTGAACTTGGGAAATTCTTCATCTGAAGGCTAAAACACTGTCAGTGTCTTTTTATTACACCTGATCCTAGTGCAGAGAGGCCTGGAATTGCAGAGTTTACAACTTATAGGGATTCAAAATGCCCTTTACTCAGGGTTTCCATGCCAGGAAAAGAAAGAGGAAATCCACTGGTGGTGGTCCAAGGAGGGAAAGACACAAGAAGCCAAGATAGGAGAAAGGCTGACCTGGGCACATTATCATGGACAGATGGTAGCACTAATGTGTGTAAAAGTAGAGGAAGTATTAGGGAATCTCCCTGGAAATGGTGGAGCTGACATCTCGCCATAATCTAAAACTCCAGTCAGACAACAAAATGAAGATAGGTCTTCCACAGAATTGGAGTACATTGTTTCCGGAGCCTGACATTCAGGATGAATATTGGTGTGTGTGTGCGTGTGTGTGTGTGTGTGTGTGTGTGTGTGTGTGTGTGTGTTCAATTAATTTAGGGTTCTACTGTATAAGCAGTGGTAGCAATTGAAACTCTTTGAGGTCTTTCTGTAAAAGTGATATTTATGGTTTATTTGGGCTATCACGGTCTACACTTGTAAAGCATGAATTACATGCAGTCATTTTGTAATTTTTGCTGAAGGAGGGAGTATGGTAAACTTCTTTGGGAGAACAGAGGTAGAGAGAGTGAGGGTCTCAGTTAGAAAGAGGGTGACATCTAAGTGATACATCTATCATCTGTGTCCCTGCCTAGTTTAGTGTGTTTGTTCTTCAATTATTGTTTGAAAACCCCGCTGTGATATCCGTCCTTATTACGGATGTTAGGATTTCCAGTTGATTTTCTCAAAGTCTCCACCAGCAGGGGGAGCTAGAAGAAATTTGAAGACTGACAGGCCCAACCACACTCCTGTCTGCTTCCTATATGTTTCCATACCAATGTGACTTCCTCCCTTCAGAAGGTATCATTTGTTTCAGGCATAATAGTGGGTCCCAGTCCACAATTTCTCCAAGTCTCACAGAATCAGCCTAGTTGTGTCTTCTTGGAGTCCTAGAACCAGCCTTATCAGCACTCTTTCCTCAAAAGCCTGGATTTCAGCTACAGGAAACTTCCTCCTAAGCCCAGTTTCACCTGTGTCAGTGAGAAGGGTCTCCTGCTCAGACTAAGATTTAGCTTTCATTGGATCTCTTGCTCAAGTTTCTAAGTTGTAATACTAGTAGCACATTCCCTATGGAGGCAGAAGTCAAAGTTACTACCTCCTCAAACTGGCTTTGACCTCTAATGGCCTGTTCAATTTCCCAAAGCCAAGTTAGAAGTTGTTTATATAAAGTTCTGTCTGTTAAAGTACGCATCGTAACTTCTACTTCCTGACTGACAGACTGAGGGTTTTTTTTTAGCTCTAAGGAGGGCCAGAGTCTTTAAACCAGGCAATGCTGTTCTTGTGCACAGACGACAAGGGAACAGACCTGAGACAGGACTTGCTTGTCGTTCTCAGCATGTTTACAAATAAGAGAAACAGTCTGGAACAAGATGTGAGCAGAGTCTGTTTTATTATTTCATGTCTGCTAGAGGATGGGCAAGAAGATAACACAGAGAATTGCGTAGGACTACTACTCAGGGTTTCCAGGTAGTTGGACAGATGGGATCAGAGGTCACAGATGAGTTTCTCTGAGGTCACAGATTTCTGGATATTACCTCAGAGACATTTTTCAGGACAGAGCTTGAAGTTTTCACTAAAATCTTTGAGCTTTAAAACCTTAAGGAAGATGAGGCTACCCCTTGCATGTCTCTAATTCTCTTCTGAACTCAAGATCCACTTCAGCAGCAGCCTCCAGACTGCTGGCTGCTGCCCCCGCCACAGCAGCTGGAGCCCCCGGAGGGCTGGCTGCAGCAGCCAGAGCTCTGGTGTCTGTGGCGGTGGGACCTGCGGGGCCTGTGGTGGCTCAAGCAGCAGCCACCACCCCCGGAGCTGCAGCAGCCCCCAGAGCTGGAGCCACAGCAGCCCCCAGAGCTGACACTGCAGCAGGAAGAGACTGGGGGGCATTTAGGGGGACACTTCGGGGGGCATTTTGGTGTAGGACACTTGGGAGGGCACTTGGGGGTGCACTTGGGAGGCGGCTGGCACTGCTGCTGGTTCTGCTGGCAGGACATCGTGGTGGGCAGTGGTTCAGGAGCTGAGGGAGAGTAAAACACATGTCAGACCATGGCCCAGGTCATCACTGAACACTTTTATCCTTTCAGCTTAATTTCCAGTTCTCTCATTTTGAAAGTCAGGAAAATTACCTCTGACTTTTTTTTTAAAAGCACTCTTTGTAGTTTGTTAAATGCTTTCTTCCTGAGTTTTATTTCAAGCCTCATTTGGAAAATTGTCAAGCAATATAATCTCCAAACACACAAAAAAATGGCTTCTCATTAAAATCTCCTAAGCATAGGAGAAAAGATGCAAAAATATCCTGAGAAATCACTTTGAAGATACCACCATGTATTACAGCAGCCTTTCCATAATTGTGTAATGTTTGTATTGTTCCTATGCTATTTCATAAATGGATGTATGTTTATTACTATGTGTTTCCTACAACAACCATTGAGAATAGTCAATGATTATTCAACTGGTCACTCATGTATGGCTTTATTTATTTTCTTAAGAAACCACTTTGAAGATACCAAAGTATAATACAACAACCATTGATAATAACCTACCACTTTTGTCTGTAGCTCACTATTATTCATCTATTTGTTTTCCTGAGAAACTATCTTGTAGATAACAATATGTAAAACAACAACCATTGATAATTTCTTACCACTTTGTCTGTAATTTGGTAAGACCCCCTATTACTATGTTATCCTTCTTTTACTCTTTAAAATAATAATAAAAGAAATTATAAATTGCCTGTAGTTTAGCATTAATTCTGGTACATCACCAAGAGTTCTGAAAATGTCAGATGGAGGGAGCAGTTTAGATATGAAAAACTCTTTAAGAAAAAACAAAAGGATTTCCTTTTGGTAGAAATTTGAAAATGTTTTGGTTTTGAAGAATATGAAGAACTGTAACTACAAAGCAACTTGAAGTCAGTTTGTCCCAAACAAATCAATCTATGAATGAAGAATCTGAAGCCAAGAAAAAGAACCTGAAGCCAAAAGAAGTGAATTTGCCCGTCCGATGTTATCAGTGCAATACTGATCAGTTTCTAGGTTCCCGACCTCTAATCCAAGACCCTGTCCTTTAAAGCAGTCTCCTTGTTGAGTCTAACCAGAACCACAGGTGTCCCTATGCCTTTCTTCCTCTAAGTACCAACATCCTCAGCACCTTTCTTCTAAACATAAGCATGGCTATATTTTGAAAATTATATTCCCACTATGCAATCCCCTTCAGCATAATCTAGTGGCCAGCATTTTTATCTGAAACCAGAGAAATTCCTTCAGCCATTATGATCAACCTGGTTTCTCTAAAATTGTAGCACATAGGTCCAAAAGTCTTCGCAGTTGCTCTTGATCTCTCTTACCCCACACCTCACCCTCTGCTTTCAAATTTCCTGCTCCTCTCTTGTCAACCACAATGCCAATTTCCTAGGTATCCAAGGCTCCCTCCTGCTCTGATCTGAGCATCACTGTAAGGAAGTCCCCGCTTCTGTTCACACTGGACACTTACCAATGTCAGAAGCAGCACAGGATCTCTGGACACCTCAAGAAGTGAGTGGATGGAGGTACTCTGCCCTGATCTCTTTTATCCTCATCTTGAGCGCCGCTCCCAGGGTGTGAGGCAAGGCTTGGGCATGGAAAGACTTGCCTCCTCCACCCACATTGTACTGTGACAGGTGATGACTGGGAGATCCTCATCTACCCTCCATCCACTGAGCTCAGAGCAGGCAGAAAGAAACGGCACCATTCCTGGAGCACTCTGCTCTTGTGATGACTGTCCTCACAGTCGTGTGTTCATGCTTATAAATCCTGGTCACACAACTCCTTCTTTTCTTCTATCCTAGATAATAATTATTTTCCATCTATATCTTTGGTTATGCATGGTTTAGTGTAAAATGTGGTTTATCTGTGTATGTGTTTGTGTGTGGGTGCACATATGCAGTATAGTGGTTGAGAAAAGAGACCTTTCCTAGATAGCTCAGCAAAGTCTAAATTTCTTTTATGTGGAGATAATGATAGAAAGTTCATCTTTGAAGGATTAAGAAAATATTAATATGGTGAAAGGAAAGTACCCAAGATAATGCACAGCATGTTCTAACATTCAGGAGATTGACGGATAAGTAAATAAAGGAATAGATAGATAAATATAGATAGATGATTATTGTAGGGAATGCCTAAAGCTGGAAATATTTTGGTCCTGAGAAAAACATCTTGCCTGAGACAATTCCAGTCATTAGTCATTAAGCAATCCTGTGTCTTGTGATACTAACTTTGTCAAAAGTATAAACACCCCTACTACTGCTGTTCAGTTCCTCTTCTTCCATTCAGAAAGAGGGCTCCACCTGACTTCAGCTTTTGTCTCTTGTCTTATTTTCTAAATCCCCTCACCATTTTTCTCCAGGGCCATTGAGAGCTGTTTGTTTCACAGTTGATGATGATGGATAGATAGATAGATAGATAGATAGAGAGAGAGAGAGAGAGAGAGAGAGAGAGATAATAAATAGATATAAATATAGGTAGATATAGATCAATGACTCAATAAAGGCAAATCTAGACTTTTAGTGTACATTGGAAATTTTTAACCCTAAAATCAAGTATAATGCTTTAAAAAAGCCATTAGATGGTCTTAACTGTCTGTAAACTACAGAACAAATTAGCAAATTTGAACTTGAAAAAAATTACTCAAAATAAACTGAAGAGGGCCGGGGATATAGCTTAGTGGTGCAAGAGCCTGCCAGGCAAGTGCGAGGTCATGAGTTTGATTCCCAGTACTAAATAAATAAATAAATAAATAAATAAATAAATAAATAAATAAATAAATAAATAAATAAATAAATAAATAAATAAACTGAAGAGAGGGAGAAATATTGAAAACAACATGAACAAAAGATTGTAAGCTATTAAATAATATCTTGTAGTTCAGTGTATACTCAGACTCACAGAAAGAAGGAAAGAAATAGCATGAATGGAGAAATATGTTTCAAAATGATGGCGAGAATTTTCCAAATTTGATGAAAATCATCCAAATTATAAGACCAAGAAGTTAATAAATTCCAAGCAGGAAAAATACAAAGAAAGCTAACAAATGTTACTACATTTTCAGAGGGAAGATACAAATTAGTTTTTAACAAGTGAAGAAGAGAGAAATTCCAAGAGGGGTGTTCAGGAAAAATTTGCTATGCACACCCTGTCAGATATAGGTTTTTAAAGGTGGGAGCACTCAGATTCACAGAGAATGTGGAGTTAGGAAAGTAGGCATCATATAAGGAAGAAACACTGTGCAAATACAGAAAGGTATAGATGGTCTTCGAGGTAAAAGTTAAGAGCAGACTGATTAGATTGTGGGGAGTCAGTGTTAGGTCAAGGTCTTCGGGTTTTACTGAATGTTCTCCAGAAATGCACTGGACACCTTAGTTTAATTTTATTGTTGTTACTTGTATGCTTGTTGTTTTATTTAGCAGAAAAAAAGTAATAATATTCATGCTGCATTCTAATATGGAAGAAGACTCTGCAGGAAGACCTGGGACAGAAGTAACAGAAGTAAGGAATGAGAGGAAATGACACCATTACCAATAACCTCCCAAAATACTACCACATATGCATACTCCCATGTATGCATCCAAATCTAAAAACCCATGATGCTGTGGATTTTTTCTTATTGTCAGTGCTCAATTGATAGGAAAAAAGAATAGCCTGAACTGACTGTAAGTTCATTCATACTAATGCAATGTTCCTACGTTCTGTTGTAGAAATACTAATACCCTCTCTAAAGAATAGGATCCTTCTGTAGGTCCTTAAAGTTGTATTCATAGAACCTTTCTACTTTTAACAAATGATGTTTCATTGAAATGCAGACAAGAAATGACTTTCTATTGAATTGGCAGTTACCCAAGGACAAAGCCTGACTTTTTTTCCTCTTAACTGTGGGAGAGGAGAGATTAATTTTTCATCTTTCTCTTTCACCTTTACCCTGAAAAAACACTGGACAATTTAAAGACATGACTGGTCATCACAGCCACTGTCATCTAGTGAGTAGAAGCCAAGGATGTTGTTACACACTCTACAATGCACAAACAACCATCTCATAACAAAGAATTATCTGGCCCAAAGTATCAGTAGACCGGAGATTGAAAAACTCTGCTTTGCACTATAAAGGATTAAGACTATGCTCATTGTAAACAGATCCTGGATTTCTTCTATTTTAATTTTGATTTTTTTACTATATGTTTGCATTACATAAGGACTGCACTCTTCATGGGGAGTTGGTACATGTACATTACACATCTTAATTCTTTTTTCATCCCTTTCCTCTCTCCTCTCTACCCCTCTATCACTTGACCTCTTTTGCTTTTGCAAAAGACCTTTCTCTCTGTCTTTTACTTTGCTTTTTAATTTATTTGTATTTTGGCTTTCTCATATAAGAGGAACAATGCGATATTTATCTTGTCTGATTTATTTCACTTAACATCGAACAAAACAGACATCTGAAGAATGCTAGTGAAATACTATGGAAATGAGTCATTAATTAATTGATTGTACAACTCAGCCTTTCAGTTCAGGCTATGTCAAGTCAAGGCATCTTCTAGTGACTAAGGACCCAATCTTGATTTAGCCTACATAGTATTTCTGAGTGATTCCAAGCTTCTCATCTCTGGTATTTCCTTTCCCTCTGGCTCACCCAAGGAATGATGCCAGTGGCAAACTGGCTGGTTGTTGTCACCCACATCAATATACGGGTGACCATTGTGATGGCTGCCAACCTCACTGTCCTTTATCCCAACATTCACCATGGTATTGGAGCTTCCTTGTCTCACAAACCTTTTATTCTTTCTAGATTCAACATTTGCCTAAGTCATTTCCCACCACCAACTCACCCCCCTCCTGTCTTTTTAAATTTTCCTTCTCCTCTCTGCTATTATACAGCCCTCCCTTCCTTCAATTCCTCCCCCTTGCAGCTGCCCAAGACTAGTCCTATCCATTTCTCTATGCACATCCTTTCAGCTCACCTGGTCTCTGCTGGATGTGGGACTTGACTTATCTTAGCAGTTGGCACCCTCAGTGAGCAGAAGTTCCTTAAACCAACCATTTCCTTTTACCTCTACTCCCCTTAGGAGTGAATATTTCACTGCCAAATAGAGCACAAAATATTATTTAAAAATTTATCTCTGCTTTGTTCACAAATGCGTCCCAAACATTCAGAATAGTTAGTGACACATAATAAAATCTCAAATAATATTCATATACATCCTTTTTGAATGCATGGATAAGCAGTGCATTCCATTTCCAAACATTTCTAATTTTTTCCTTATTTCTAGCAAGAGCATTCCCTTAATGATTCTTATTTATGGGATTTAAGCTCCTGAATTTTACTAAAAGGCTTATTCATTTTCTGAATGAAAGTACTTCAAGTATGGGAGATGGAAGTATGACACTTTCCCAAAGATAACAGTACTCTTTTGTCCACCAAGAAATAGACCAAATTTGGAACAAAACAAGTCTATACTTGGATTCTCGCATGATCTGGGCTTAGATGTGTGCCCAGGCAAACTACTTAACCTCTTTAGGTTTTCATTTTATCTAAAATGGGATGAATACTTTTTCAAGTTGTTGGAAGAATGAGAAGACATTTTCTGCCTCAGTTGGTGGCTGCCGCAGAGAAGGTCACTGTCCTCCAACCTCACTCATTTTGATCTGAGCTCGGTGCCAGTTTACACTGTCTGACCAAGAAGAACAAGAGACATTTAGAATATAAAATTTTATTTTCTCAGGCATGACAACTCAGGCATAGCCGCTAATAACAAGAATCCATCACAATTTGGAACAGATGATTTCCACTTATCCCATACTAAAATTTCAATCAACTGAGCTTTCTTCCTACAGGCAGCTATCCACACACCCACTCATCACTGCAAGCACAGCTGAGATGTACCTTAAATTCTGAACTTCAGGATGGACTTACTTACATTTTATTGTGTCACATCAATTCCATGATTCTAACCTTTGTTTGATCAGCAATTTATACTTCATTTCTCTCATAACTTGAAGTCACCTAAAATGTAGGGCAGTTTCTTTTCACATTTTTCTACAAGGTGTTAACAGAAAGTTCATTAAATCAGTATTGAAAATGGAGTTCTGAGGCCAGCAGAAAGCCTCCATACACGGTTATGCACCAGGAAAGATGTTTAGCCCAAAAAGATCCATTCCTCCTTCTCCAAGGTATCCACAAGCATTAATTCAGTCATGATAACAGCATGCCTGCTGTCGTCTCTGCCTGGAACACTCCCTTCCTTCCTCCACTCATCAGCTTATTTCCACTCATCTTTTATATCTCTGATTTGTAGTTGCATCCTCTAGCACTTGATGCACTATGCTGCCCATCCTAAGGGCTTCTATGTACACTGTCACTCCTTTGCCGAACCTCTCATCATAGCGATTGTCAGCTTTGCTTACTGTAAAATCTCCAGGATCAATCACAGTTTCTGGAAGACAGCAGAGACCCCATAAGTATTTGTCAATTGAATGAATGAGTTGTTGCATAGCAATAAATACTTTTCTCCCTGATAGATATGTAATACTAGAGATGAGAGGAAAGATACTGAATCCAGTTTAGGGTTCTTAT